TTGTAAAGCTGGAAGTTTCTTAGAAAAGGATGAAGCTAGAAAGACATGGAGAATCACACCTCTACGTCATACGCTCTTATTTAATCCTTCAGTCCATATGGGGCTACTTCAGCCCAGTTCCTCTATCTCCAATGTCTGGGACGAAACCAAATAAGGATTTGCTCCCTATGTCCTTTCTGTCAAAAGGTCTCTGGCCTGTTCCATTCTATGAAATTGCTACTCCCAAGTCACAAGCATATTTTGACTCCAGCAATCAGATGATGTGTAAGGCAGCTATCTCACTAAAGCAGTTTCCTTACTACTGGTGTAAAACTCCAATCTGTCATTGTGTTCATCAACATTTGCTCACCTCTGTCTTCTTTCTCCTGTCTCCTTTGGTGCATCTCTGAATGAAATCTTCTTGCCTCCCCTCCACTTTGTAATTGTTGCCCCCCCACCTCTTGCCTTTGGCCATGTCATTTCCTAGAAAGAAACATCCAACCATCTGGTTGCTGTAGGAAAGGCAGGTTTGGCTTCAGCATCGACCTTGGTGAGGTTTCTGATTTGTACCATTTTACCTTTGTAGTGCCTCAGCTTTGCATAAATATCCTTATTCTGTGTTTTCAGATTAGGATCTCATGGTACTGTATATAGAGAGCAAGCATGGTACACTGGCAAGAAGGTGAGCTTGACTAGTGTTACAGAAAGCCCCTGAAAGCAACAAGAAATCTTGGGGTTTTGGAAATGTGTGTGAAAGTTATTTTCTGGGCCTTTTCTTACTTGAACCTAACCATGTCAAAAACCAGCCTTGGCAATACCCTTTTTATACCTTGTCCCCCACCACGTTGCCTTCATCTCATCTGCAACACTTGAGTGAGAAACCTCAGACCAACTTCAACTGCACCCAATAAAAGTTGTGGTTTTTGTGAGTGAGAGGTGCAGAATGTGAAGGGTAATTGAGGTGGTCAGCAAGGGTGGGATACTGACCATTTCAGGCTGAAGTGGAGAAGCTCCCTGGTCACTGGTCAGCAGTTGCCAATCTGCTGCTGTCTGTCCCAAGAGTTGGACACAGCAACCATGGAGGATGGTCCAACAGAGCTGCACAACAGTGGTGGCCACATCTACATGTCCCTCTAATGTGGAATGGACTATGCCCCCCGGCAGTAGAAACCATGCTTTGAGGTTGATGATATCAAAAAGGGAGGAATGATTGGGAGGTAGAAACACATAAAATGGGCAGGGCTTCAAACATCCAGTTTGGAAGGGGAGACACATCCTAAGGAACTCCTCTATTCTGATCTTGATGATTGTTCAGATACAGCTAAGATGTGGGTGCAGAAGAAGGTCCACACAAGGAGACTAGAGATGACAGTCCTGCAGTGAGACCTGCCCCATTCCTGCTGCTGTGCTATGATTGCAGCATGTACATTCCATTGACTGGAGATGCCCTGAAAGTGGAAGGCATCAAAACCAGAGCGATTGCTTCCTTTCTCACATGCTGGGGATGCAGAAACACAACAGGCCATTTGGAAGTTCACAAAAATGAAGGCAATGGAGGCAGCAAATGTCATGACAGAATATTATATTATGGTCTTTCTGGGCTCTGCAACTTCATACCTCATCACTTTATGAAACCAATAGATGGTGATGGGAAGGGTTGGGAGAAAAGTTTGGGTTACAAATTCGAAGATTTGACTTTGGACGGAGAAACAGCCAGAAAATTATCTTGGTATCAATTCCTAAGTGAGAGGACCAATAGAGGAGAAAAGGTTACTGCACAATGATTAGGAAGTTGCAGTGTAAAGCAAGTCAACTGACCTGGGTGTTCCCTGAAGACACTGGGAAGGACACAGACTTCACATCCTCTTAAGGAGGCAGGAGAAGAAT